CTGTGTTTGTTGCACAGGAAGTGACAGTATACAAGGGCACAACTAAAAAGATATACACAAAGACAGAAACAAAACACAATAAAAACACAAGGGCGAGTGTTTATTAAATATTTATTGAGCTAGCAAGAGAAGAGTGAAGAAACTTTTAATTAATAATTTCTCTTCCCAATTCAGTATACTCCCTTTGTAAGCTACACTAAAAGTAAAGTAAAATTATAAAATGTAAAATAAACTCCAAAGTTATATTTAAACAGCGAAATACAAATGCTTAAATTATAAGTTCAGCAAAACTAACTTCAACTCTCTCGAAAGCTAAAGACTGCTACAATATAATGTTAAGCTGAAATAGGGTTCATCAAAATAGCAAAATCCTACAAAAGTTAAAGTTCAAAATTATCATGGTTACTCAAGTTCCTAAAAGTGACTAAACTTAAATTCTATTTAAAGTGCAAACTTGCCTTTGTATACAAAAATACAATAACATCACACAAAGTCAGGTCTGTGTAGGACTCTACTTTTCACACACACTACCATCATACACTACGATCTGATCGAAGCCCCAGAGCAGGGCAATCTCTAGCCATTATCCAACTTGCTGACGGAAAATACAACTATCTATTTCGAAACATCACGAGTTATCTTTCTTGTAAGCAAACGCGGCTTATTGCCAATCAATGAATTCACATGCTGTGTACACTGGAGAAAGGGAAAATTAAGTGACTTACTTGAGTAACCCTCTGACTCTAAACAAAACTGAAAGAAAATTTAAAAAATCGTAAAAATTTACATATTAATTGAGGGAAGGGAAGAGCTAACACATGGTACAGCGATGTGCTACATATTTCCAGTTGTCCTTAAATTCAAAACTAGAAAAAAATTTTAGTCACTCAAAAATCAAAATAGCTTATTTTAGTCTCTGTAAAACAACTTTACAAACAACACTCAGATATTAACTGGGTGAAGGGGCCAAACATGTGGTAAAGTGCTGAATACCTATTTCCTTCAGGACCAACCCATTCATCCTTAACTAAAACTAGAAGAAAAAAATCGCAATAGCTCACTCTAGTCCCAGTAAAACCACTTGTCAAACAGCACTCACTGTATAAAGACAAAAACAACACCATAAAACAAGGTAATAAAATTGTTAAAAACGCTCTCTCACTTCGTTTAAGAGGGGGTGGTCTAACACATTATGTTTGCACAAAAAACACTAACACAAAAACGAACAAAAATATATGAAAATTTAACGTAGGTACCAAACATGAAATATATGCTTTAACAGAACCTGGAGGAATTAGCCCACCATCATAGCCTCCAGATCCTGTTGGATACTCCATCGAGCAATGTATCTTCATCCATGGCACTGATGATGACATGAAAACAAGGCCAGCTTCAGGGGTGGTAGGCAATGCAACAACAACTTTCTTGGCTATATCCACGAGTATGAGTTTGTGGTCCACTGCCCAGTAAAGGCGATGGTTTCCATTCCTGCTCAAGAAATGTAGCAGTTGTAACAAGGGTGAGACCTGTGGCTGAGTAAGAGTCTCCATCTCTCTCTGCTATTCTTGTAAAGGCATTGTTATTGGCTAGAATACAGTTTATGTTCTGCATTACCTTCTCCAATGATCTTTCATTCCCATTTTGGACAATGTGCAGTCAGACTGGACTCCAGGCATTACAATTGTCTGTAATGGTGCATATTGTGCTCATATTCACGAGTGGATTCAGCAGATTAATCTACTTCTTTTCCTCTGTCATCATAGGTGATGAAATAAATTTTGAATTGGGGGCACGCACCAATGATTATTGATACCAAAGTTGCTATTTTAACTGTGACCATTGAATTCAAAGTTGAAACAACGAGTTTCCCTGTGAATTATGCAAAAAAATATCCATTCTCCATTCAAAAAAGGCATTTTATTACCAGTCAGAATTTGTGACACATGTGTTCCAATACTTATATGTCATAGAGGATATACAAGTCTGTTTCCCAATGATGAGCACAGATCATCCAAACACTTTTCGTACTTATTTTTTTCCATTTACTAAATGTATACATAGCCCAAATTGTGATATTTCGTAGTTTAAAGTTAATATTACTGCTAATGGTTCTGTAAATATCTAGAGCACCTCAGAGAAGAACATTATTACCCTGGGGCTGCGAAGGTTAGAAGGGGTAATACCTCCTATTGGGGGTCAGTATTCTTCTCACTGTTGGCACCTAAACTTGAATGTGACGGCCATTAAGCTGGAGCTGTAATTAAATTGTATGCATCGCTGTTTCTCTCTGGCTAAGCCAGGTGGAGAGTTCACGTTTGTTGGAGTTACCCTGTTAATCCCTTTCCTAGAAGTAAAACTTACCACAACATAGTTGACGACCTATGCAATCTTATATATGTATTTAATTTAGTTATTTATTTAAATTGTTTTTCTTTTCTTTTCTCCTTCATTACTTCTACCTTCATCATATTATCCCTTTACCACCCAATGTAAGTACGAGGGGATGATGTCTTTAATAATAATAAACAAGACAAACAAACATGGGCCTAAGCTAGTATTAATAATTCAATATGTTGTTTCACGCCCCCACTGGCTCAGCGGTATGTCTGCGGACTTATAACACTAAAAACCGGGTTTCGATACTTGTGGTGGGCAGAGCACAGAGAGCCCATTGTGTAGCTTTGTGCTTAACTACAAACAAACAAGTTTTACAGTAATAGATCCTAACATTGTTTTGCTACTGTGTAACGATAACGGTATTATTCTAATTAATTTAATACAATTAATACATTGAAAATCTCAATAGTCTGGGGAGACAGTTTTAAGCCCCAAAAATTTTTCCGCCATATTGATGACGTATTTCCGCATAGGAACAAATTCAACATATTATCTGCTAGTCCTCTTTTTTTTTTCTTTTTTTCATGTTGTACCTACGTGCGTGTCCATTCCCATAATTCTCTGGGAAGTGTCGTTTTACGGTTGAAATAAAATGGCTGACCCTTTGAGTTTGTTACGTCAGTACAATGTGAACAAAAAAGAAATAATAGAGAGAACTGGTCAAATAATATTTGGAGAATATTCGTGGCCTAAAACCGTGAATACCAACTATTTGATTTGGGGGTAAGTATATCATTTAACTTTCGTGAATTCTCTGAATATTTATAAAACTTCTTTTTAATTTTATCCATGATACCGATCATACATTTGATATACCAATACTATCGGTATCACTGATACTGATACACTCACACAGTAATATATAGATAAAAATATAATTGGTCAAACTTAAACGGCTAAGGTAATCAAAGTCTGAATTAGGCCTAAATTCAAATTATGAGTTGGATTAACATGGTTAAAACTTGATATAACTTGTAGTTGTGTAAAGTTTATTTTAGTAAGAATCTGCCATACTAATTTCTATTCTAATGCTACTCATTACTGCTAATGCTATTATACTAGTATTAATAATAGTAATAAACTATTGTTAGTACTAGTAGTAGTAATATTATTAACTAAAGTACGATGTTAGGCGTTAAAAGTAAGTTTATACTATATGCTTCAAGTATTACTACTACTGTTATTTATAAATCCTACACATACATATCTGTACCATCTGCTATACTAAGAAGATTCAGTGTTTTAAACATTTAAACAAACTGAATTGTAGGCATAGTATTAGCAGTAATACTAGTAGTAGTAGCATTGCTATTAACAGTGTATCGCTACACTAGCGATAAAAACATAAAATGATCAATGTTTCTTTTCATTTTATATCAAACAAATGTGTTGAACCTGAATGAAGAAAAATGATACATAAATCATAAATGAGTATTTCTATCCCTTGTGTGTGTGGGAAAGAAAATTTTTAATTTCTTTCTTTCCAATGTAATACAACACACAACTCACTTGCAAATCATTTCAATCGAATATTTCTCCTTATAAAAACAACTTCTAAGTTTTATGAAAGTTTCTTCGAATAAGTAATACTGAATTCAAAATATGTATGTATGATAGTTTTGTTTTTTTTCCACTGAAATAATGCTGCCATTAGACAAGATATCAGATGTATGACAATGAACAGTGAGAGAAAGATTTAATATTTTAAATTTATAATAATAGTCTCCATAAAAGAAAGCAATTAAAAAGGTTTAAAGTAAGAATTGTTTTATGTTAAATTAAAAAGACAGAGAAATGATGGATTTTCCTTCCCACATATACGCAAGGGACAGAAATATTCATTTATGATTTATGTATCATTTTTCTTCATTCAGGTGAGAAACATTTATTTGTGGTCAAAGGGTTTTTGTGTCAAATTAGGTGATTGATGCAAAAGTAAAACATTACATGGATTTTATGTCGCAGTAGTCACTACCAGCAAATGACTAATGTTTTTAATTTTTAACTAGATTGTTTGTTATGTAGGTCAGGAGAACCTTCTGTATCCCTCAACTGCAGGCCTCAATATTACTAATCATGAAATTAGTTCATATATTAAAGACATATTAGTTTCCCATACTTTTGATAAGTAGTTGCAAATTATAAATAAAGGGAACTTCAGTCTTACTTCCTACTTATTCTTCCAGCTGGAACCTTTAATAAAATAATGTAAGCTTAAACCATTTACTTTTGATAATAATTGTGTTGTAGTATACAAATACAAGTAGAATAGTAATAAGGTTTCAAGTTTTTCAACTTACTAATTGAAATTAAAGATGAGTAATTTATAAAATTGAAAATAATAGTAAAAAATGGAAACAAGTAATTTTAATGAAGGAATACAAAAGTACATGTTTGTGATATCCATGAATAAAGTTGGTTGATCCTTTGTTTTACATTCATCTATTGTAACCAACTCAATTTTGGAATATTGATTCAATTGCAAGGCTCATTCATAAAAAGCATTTAATTTGAGAAGAAATTGTTATTGGTATAAATAACAAATTGAATGCTAAATCAAATGCACAAGAAGTAATCATTTGGCAGTAGAGTGTATGGTTTGTCTTGTGAACAGCAGGTGATTTACTTCTATTACAGTCTTTTAGGAACAAAATAAGGTGGTAAATAATGCGTGATAGGATATAAGACAATTAAATGCTAGATTATACTGAGTGATTATGTCTAATGGAAGACAATTCTGACTATTATATGTGACCAATTGGCTTCCCTCTTATAATTAAAAAATGAAAATGTTTTAATGATAGAGAATAGAGCTAAGCAATTAATGGAATTTGATAATCAACTAATTGTTGGATTCATTAGTCAGTTACATTCAACTAATTTATTTTTTTACGTGAGATTTGAATAGTTGGAATAATCAAAAATAGTAATAAACAGAAATGCTAAGGTGGTCGATAATTGATCCTCAACTGTTACTTGTTATATCTTTGAAGATGAACTGTAATAGGCAATCAGCCTGATTATTAGACTAGAGGATGGCTTCTGAGAGTTTAATATTACATAATGATAAAAACTTGATTTAAGTGGTGAAAATTGAATCTTTTACCAGTTTCAAAGTGAGTATTCATTAGACTGCATCATAGTGTCATGGACATTTTCTTTATTTTTTTACCCTGTCCCAAAAATCAATACAAATGCATGTATGCAGGGAAAATGAAGATGACATTATTAAATGTTTCAATTATTTTGATAGTTGTAATAATGGGAAACACTAATTTTGATTAGTTATTTATTTTCCTGAGTTGTGACACTAATTCACTAAGCTGAACAACCTTGAATTAATAAAAAAAAAGAAAGAAATCATAATAGTAATATTTCAATAACATATGCTTTTCAGTATCACGGTAGATTAAAATGTCTTTCCGGGGTAAGGTGTGACATTTTAGCCATTGTTAGCTCATGGTTTTAAGTGTTTCCTTCACGTCATTGATCTAATGCTTCCTTGGTCTTCATGTGCCCCTGTTCATTCCATTTATCTTCTTTTCCCTCTTCCCATTTCTTTTTCTCATCCCTCTGACCCAATCTATTTTCTACATTTCAAGGATGCTGTCTCTGATCTTTGGGCCAAATAAGCATTCAAGTGTTCCCCCCCCCCCAATCTCCTGGTTTTTAATCTCTTTTCTTTGTGGTCCCTAGGTAGACTAGGGACTGGCATCCAGTTATCAACCTCCATCTCTAAACCAGTTTCTGGTTGTTCCATGACTCTGGATGGAGAATTTCCTTTTTCTCTGGTGGTCATTTTCACCAGGTTTGTCGATGACCAGGGTCAGTGTGTCAGACATCTTTCTACATATCCTCATTGCTCTGTCCTCCAGATGTTTTCTATGATTTGTCCAATAGAATTTAGTCTTTTAATTCCATGCTCTTCCCTTCAGCACAGCTTCAGCCCCTTATGTTTTCAATCAAGTCATGAGGGCCTTTGCTCATTATCTTCATGAACTGGGGCTGAGATTCCATTTTTACATGGATGATTGGCTTCTACTTGGCTCTTTTTATGAGGTGCTCTTCTCTCCACCTCCCTTCTTTTGCAGGAGACTGCTCAATTGAGATGGATTGTCAAGCTTTCCAAATCCTTTCTCATGCCAATGCAGTACTTAGTAGATCTGGGTGTTTTTCAACACTCATTTCACTCAGGCTTAACCTTTTCCTCTTTGCCTGTGAGCTTTGGAATGTTTAGTTACCAAGAGATTCTTGGTCTACCTGTTGCTTTCTTTCTTCCTTGTGGCCATCTTACTGTGCCACATCTTTGACCATGGATTGTTAGTCTCCATCATTGCTGGCTATTGTACACCCTTATCCACTATCTTTCATCCTTCCCATTACCATAGGATGTTTGCTTCCCCTGTCTCTCTGTTCTGATCCTTCCTTCTTCAACCCCCTCACCATGCCTGATTGGGATCTTAATATGGTGTTGCATACCTCTCACCCATACTCCATTTGAGCTTCTTACACTTCTTGCCAATGGTTGCTGTCATTCAGATATCATTGATCATAATTCTTCTCCCAATTATTTATTCCTCTAATCAGACTAGTTATTCATCCAGTTGGGAAAGTGACTGTTCTTTCTCTCCTATCTTTTGCTTCTATGCTTGTTCAGACCCATATTGGCTTCTGTGTCTGTTTCGGACTGTTTGATGCTACTTGGCACGAACTTCTCCCTTGCGGGGTCACTGCCATCACCTGTTTCTACCCTGGGACCCCTCTTCATTCAGGGACCTCTCATTTTCTACCCTTACCTGATGGGTCTGTAAACTCCTCTGGTTGGTGTATACTTTCCTGTATGTTAATGCTAGCAGACTCTTTCATGTTTTGTTGTATTAGATTTGTTACCTGTCTCATTCTCTTGCATCTCATCTTCACTGGTCCTTGGTTGAGCTCCTCAAGGCAGGCATGTGGACAACTCCCTACACATTTTTCACTCATTATCTTCATCATATGGCTGTTTGATCTCCCTCCAGTCTCCATTCTTCAATTAACCTTCCATCTTTGAGATGGGTAAGTATATTTTCTTTTACTCTCCTTTTCTATCTAACAGAACCCTACCAGGTGGCTGGTGTTGCCTTCCAGGGTATGCATATTTCCCGAAATCTGCATCAGGCCAAGGGAAATAAAATGTTCTCAAACCATCCACCCTGGCTCTAACATTGCCTACTGTTGAGATGGGATGTTCTGCAAGACCACTAGAGGTAACCTCATGGTATACAATATTACTCAGTTACCCAATCCAGACCGTACATTTTCATGTACTATAATGGAAAAAATTGGCACCAGTGAAGTGACTGCCTACTTCTTTGGCTTATGTTTGTTGGCTTTTCAAAATAGGGTTTTGCAGTCACCCTTTACACTGTCTCTAGTAAAAGATCTTTCCACTAGGCATCTGATGGTGATTGGACACTTCTCCATTTCTCCCCAGTGTGAATTATCTTGTTCAAATGGAGCATGGGAGACCCTTGCCATTTACAAGTTCCTAGCTATTAGGGTGATGGACCTTGGAGAGTTTCTCACTGATTTGGCTTAGCACAATACAGTGAGAAGTAGAGTGGTGGTGATACTGTCAGTGATGTACAGATCACCCCACAAACAGTTAGTTTGCTTTCCTCCTGCAGCCTGTGTCTGTTCCGTTGAGCTGAGGGAGCACACTTGTATGATCTGGTCAAGCCTTA